AAATTAAGTAAAACGGAGACTCACGTAGATTCTGTGTAATTTCAACATATTTAGTCATTTGATTAAAATGAACTCCTCACCTCAAGATCAATTCAAACTGTTTTTTTTTAACAGATGTGGGAATGCAGTACATGCATAGGCTACTGGTGAATGCAGTACCAGATTCTAATATAATTATAATTAATTATAATTTATGCATTTAGCAGAAGCTTTTATCCAGTGCGACTTACAGTGCGTTCAGGCTATACATGTCAGATCTCCGCCTTGTAAACGCCCCCTAATTAATATCATTACCATATAAAAGAGCACAGGCCAATATCAGACTTTCTATGCTTGAGAATGAGGAGCACAAAGAAAAAAAAACTTTACTGAGTCTGAAATTGAGGTCCTGCTGGCGGAGGTAGAGGTTTGTGCGGGGACGCTTTTTATTTAATAATGTGTACTTATTTTGTGGACAAACAATGTGTGTGTGGTTATATTTTTTCTATTGACTATTATCAAAATTACTACTTTTAGAAACAACAGAAATAATATAATAATAATCATTTTCACAGAAGCAAAGCAGCAGATGTTATAAATAAAAACAGTTAACAATGTTATTGAATAGAATATATTAAACCGTTATTGCACGACATAGGCCTATTCTTATGCTACACAGACAAAACAGTCGGAGATGCATTTATATATATATATATATTATTATATATATATTTTTTTCACATTAGCCTAGTAGTAAATCAAGACTTCGCAAGTTCTCTTGTAGAATAAAATAAACATGGAATAAACTACAGAAAGCGAGTAAAGAACTGTCAACATTAGGCTACTAAAAAAGTCAGTTTAATCTCGCAAAACCTCCCGTTAAACCCTGACGTGGCGGTAAGTAATTTTCCACGTCAAAGACCGTTTTTATAAATATGAACATTGCCGTGGATTTTAGCGTACGCACATTTTATATATGAGGCCCCTGAAGAATATTGTCCCATTCTCATTCTTCTCAATTCTTATTTTCTTATTACACACGGGTCCAAAAAGCATCTGTTTTCAGTGACATTCGTTTATGGCAAGCCGTTTTAGCTTAAAATACTCCCAGCGTTACTCGTCGTAATTGCATTTTTACTAGTAACAATTCAATTATAGAGCTCTACAATTAAATTCTTACTAGTAACAATTACAATTAGAGGGATCTGTAATTCAGTTTTTACTAGTATCAATTATGTTTAGAGAGCTCTCTAATTTAATTATTACTAGTAACAATTACAATTAAAGAAATCTACGATTTAATTTTTATTAAGAATGTCTCCATTGACTTCCATTAATTTATAATTACAGAGCTCTTCAACTGAATTTTTACTAGTAAGAAATGCAACTAGAGAGCTCTCTAATTACATTTTTACTAGTAAAAACCTACATTAAAGATATGTTTAATTGCGGAGCTCTTTAATTAAATTGGAGAGCTCTCTAATTTAATTCTTACAAGAAAAAATTTGAATTAGAGAGCTCTATAATTAAATTCTTACTAGTAAAAATGCAATTACGACAAGTAACACTGGGAATAATATAAGCTAAAGCGGCTTGCCATATCCGTTCAAATGTAGTCGTACATGCATTTTTGCAAGCAATACATATAGGGCTATAATTCGGCTACTATGGTAATTTGTAAATTAGGCTACTAGTGCCAGATTTTTTTGAGGACTCTTTAAATGGGTTTGGATATGTGACTTAGTGAGACTGAATTTTATTTCTTATCTACAATAAAATGATTATGATGGTAGGATAGGCGAACGCTTCTCTTTGCGGCAACTAATAATCTGATTGAAATTTGCAGTTAAACGTTTGTAGTACACTATAGGCTACTGTATGTACACACTGACACTACAATACCACTCAAACGTTTGGGGTCGGTAAGATTTTTTTAAAAGTTTTTGTTGCAAGTCTCTTATGCTCATGTTTGTCTCTTATGCTCACCAGGGCAAAAAAATAAAATAAAATAAAAATACAGCAATATTGTGAAAAATGACTACAAAGTTATTTAAAATAGTTTTAATTATTTAATATAATTTAAAAGAACTCTTTTTAATACATTTCTATATTTTGATATTCATTCCACTAACGGCAAAGCTGAATTTTCAGCATTACTCCAGTCTTCAGTGTCACGGTGATCCTTCAGAAATCAGTATAATATGCTAAGTTGCTGCTCAAGAAACATTTAATATTATCAGTGTTGAAAACAGTTGAATATTTTTAATAACTCCTTAATATTTTTGGGTAAACCATGATACATTTTTACAAGTTTTAAAAGAAAAGCATTTATTTGAAAAAAAACAAAAAACTTTTTCTGTCACTTTAATCAATGTTATGTATCCTTGTGGAATAAAAGTAGCCTATTAATTTCTTTTTAAAACTCTTACTGACCCCAAAGATTTGAACAGTAGGCTACACTGCTTACATGCATATTATGTTTACTAATACAAAGACATTTGTGCAGTTGTTGCCGTTTACACCAAACTTGTGAAACTTTTTTGAAATGACTATAAGCATCTTTCAGTCTATAGCTCTATTTATAAGTATAAAGGCTGTTTGTGTATATAGCATAAATAAATGGCATATGAATCCTCAGAAGTTACACATATTAGCCTACTTAACAGCCTTTATGCATTCAAAAGAAAATAAATCTTAAAAAACGACCATGAGATCAGCTGATATTCAGTGAATGAATGCATTTAATGCAGGCATCTCTAAGAACACATTTAGTGCTCAAACACTCTGTTTGTGCTCCTCACGCGACGTGACCTTTGCTAATCAATGCTGTGGCTCCTCGTAACCATCTGACACCACATGACAGCTCTGATGCTGCTCTAGACACACACACACATCAGACCTCAGCATAAAGCTCAAGCACAGCTCTATCTGTTCACTGACAGGACACACAGATCTTCACCATGCAAACGAGAATCTTGTTGCTGACTCTGACCCTGACGCTGGGGATCAACATGATGGCAACAGGAGAACCACTTCACGCTCAGTGCAGAGTCATCTGGTAAGATGCTGTTTTGTGTGCATATATTGGAAATGTTGTTTCAGCTGCTGTCAGTGTGTCTGCATTAATTTTATAGTGTAATAAAATGTAAGTGGGTCTTTCGTTTGTAAGATTACTTATCTTCATGGTCATCATTATATAACACTTAAAATGTAACATCAGTATAACTTAAAAGATATGTTT